TTTGAGGCAAACGGCTTGTGACAGAAAGATCATCAGGCATGGTTTTAAATTCACAACTTAAGTAAACATCCTCTAAGGCTCTTTAGCAAGAAGAATGCTACATGCACAGAAAAAGAATGCAAAGAATTTGTTTGCAGAAGTCCGAACTGGCTACTGCAAGAAACCAGAAGCCATGAAGATAGATTAATTCACATTCTGGTTTCAATTATCTGTGCGTAGCTATTAGAAACACTTAAGTAAAGATTTCTGAAGGCTTTTATGAATTTTGTCTAGATTGCCTGCTAGGTGTCATGCCCATCATGCCTTGAAGGAAACATTAAACTCACATTCAGGGTGTAGCTTAGAATACCTTTGCCACATTATCCATTTACTTATCTCAGTTAAGGTACACATCAACCAGGTAGCTTCTCTTGAAAGTTGTGTTTAAACCTCAGTGAGAGCTATAGCACAAATACCAGGAGAAAAAAAAAAATGAAGTGAAGGAAGATATATTTCAGCAGAAAGCATAACTCAAATCCTTTGAAAACTTCAGGAAGAAGTACATTTTCAAAGACCAGTAATTCTGAATAATGTGTTGTATGATGTACAGCCTTCCGAAGTTATCAGGACTCTTTTCAGTTATCATAGACCATACTTCTCCTTACATGTAAGAGTTATGCCTTACAGGCTTTTAAATGCTCCATCTTAGTCATAAAATAAATTTTGCTTCTATCCATACAACCTTGGAAATACATTAACTACAACTTTGCTAGATTGCAGGAAGTCTCCATATGGCAGTATAAGCTTTTTCCTTTCCCATTCATTGACCCAGTAATAGCTTCAAGGCATAAGAAGTCCGAAGGCTTTTTTGTGTAAAGGATCTAAGAAGCTTAAAAGGGTACATTTATTTTATGCCTCTACCAATCCATACTCTTCCCTTCTCTGTGGAAATGTACCATAGCTGAATTTGTTACTCATAAAGTTCCCACAGAACATCACATCAGTTTATGTTCTGAGCAAATTCAGAATTATCCCTGAATTCTTCCCAGCACCAGAGAAAACAAAAATACCAAGTTCCTGAAAAGTCCCGTGAGAAGAGATTTAAAGTTTTATAAAGTTTCTGAGGGTCCTATGATTCTTTGATTCTAAGACAGTCATAGATCATTACCAGTGGTATCCCTACCAAATATCTCAGAGGCGAGCAAATTATAACCCATATCCAAACTCACAGAATCAGAATCATTTGAGTTGGAAGGGAGCTTTAAAGGTCATCCAGTCCAACTCCCCTTCAATGAACAGGGACACCCACATCTAAACCAGTTTGATCAGAGCCTGATCCAGCCTGGCCTTAGCATTTCCAGGAATGAGACTTCTACCATAACTCTGGGCAACCTGCTCCAGTGCTTCACTATCCTTATTGTAAAAAAAAGAACATCTTTCTTATACCCAGATTGAATCTCCCCTCTTTTAATTTGAAACCCTTTATAGAATCATAGAATCCTACAACAGTTCGGGTTGGAATGTTTAAGATGATCTAGTTCCAAAGCCTTGCTAAAGGCTAAAAGCAGGCACACCGCATACTGGATCAGGCTGCTCAAAGCCCCATCCAGCCTTGCCTTGAACGCCTCCGTGGTTTCCCTTTGTCCCATCAAAACAGAACCTGCTGAAGAGTCTGTTCCCTTCTTTCTTATAGTCCCTCTTTAGAAACTAGCTTTAAAAAAAAAAATCAATTTCTGAAAAGATAGAAAGGTGGCCTGTCCCAAATGAAGGCCTTGCCTTATAAAAAGGATCTTATTATCTCATACAGAAATGAGTAATTTCTGTGCCCTGAAGAAATGATACTTCATATTAGATATATTCTCATATTGCTCAAGAAGGGCTACTTTGCTACATCAGACTAAATGAAATGTATTACAAGGCAAACTCTCCACAAACAGAGCTGGGTAGACTAGCAAGTTCTGTACAACTGCATAGGCACAGCTGAAAGAAGGTACCATCATGAGAACTAGGACACCAATTATGCTGTACTAAACAAACCTGAAAATAAACCTGTTTTCATAATGCAGTTTCTCCGCTCAACTAAAGCCTCCTATCTCATTATCTGTCACTATCCTTCTTTCTGATAAGTGAAAACTTGTGCTGATTCACTACAGCTGAGTCTTGGTCATGTTCATGGCTTTCTATGTCAAGATGCATGGTTATACAACACCAGAAATCCTAAGAAAAAAAAAAAAATCTAGGAAATTAAAATTACCAAGAGAAATGGATGTACAACAGGCAATGCAGTTGTTGGTTGTTTTTTTTTTTTTCCAGGAAAATCATTGTAAGGAAGACACAAATGAACAGTACGAACAGTTTGTCTTTCTGTCCTACTAAGAAACAAGTACACAAAAAAAACAGCAGCTAAAATTTTGGCTACAATTTGCTAGCACCTCAGCACAATATCTCTAAGAGTGTCAGCACTGCTATAATTCTCCTCTCAGTCCAGCTTACAGCAATAGTACATAACAGTACCTTAAACTGTGATGTAATATGAATTAAAACGAGAGATTTACTACATTTCAAATGCTAATGTTTTTTAATCACTTTTTACCAGTCATCATGCAGCTATTACAAATCTCCAGAGGTAACTAAGACCAGAATTATGTCCAAGACTACGAAAAATGGAAAAAGAAATACTTAATAGTTCTATATCTATCAAGCCAGCTGAGATAAAGGTCCATCATGTATGTTGATGAACATTTTAAAATGTAATACGCTCCTTTTTTCACAGAAGTTATAGATAGCCAAAATTGAAACACAAAACATGAAACAACTAGGTGTTTTGCTAGTGGACAAGATCAGCACAAAAGTCACAGGCAACTAGTTAAACAAGTGCCTTTATTTTTACTGAAGTTTAAAGCAATGAGATAATAAATAATACAGCAAAAATAACACAGAACAAGGCAATGCACCTTACTACATAAGGATAGTAACAGTGATTAGGAAAGATACATCACCAATTGCCCTAATACCTTAGCATCATCCAGATCTGCAGCTGCTGGGAAGCCCCAGTTGCAGCGAGGATTTGGAGAGCCTTTACCAGCAACTCACATATGCACGTCAGGACAAATGGTTGGAAACTGCAGCAGAAAAATTACTACATAACCTTTGATTTTTTTGCAAGGCAATAGCTTCTGATGAACACTTCTGGAAAGTTATATTTTTAATGAAAATGCAAAACTATCTCTCTCATATTACATTCTAGAAACTGCACACTTTCTATATGTAAAACACGTAGGTTTTAAACAGACTGAAATACAAACAGCATATCCCCAGCTCATACTGCATACTATATTTCTGCACACCTTATCCACATAGACCAGCAAAAGAAGAATCAGGAAAAGGTTCAGACAAGCATCCATTCTGATCTGCTTAAGGCTGAACAATCAGTAACACGTGACCACTGTTTGTAACACATGGGAGTCTTGCTTAAAAAGCTCTAATATTTATTTTATGGAATAATATATTCATTCAGATAACTAGATCCATATGAGATCTGAGTTGGTTCTTGGCACATAAGAGTTTAGTCTATGAACACCATGAAATTCTTTCCTTGCAGTGGACAAGACTTGATGTGATTGACTGACATAGTTCAAATCAGTGGTGTCCAAACATTTTTGGTCATGTATCCCTATTAGCAAAAGATTTTTGAGCACACATATCCAATATACGTATATTTATAAAGACATATTTCTGAAGTTCTAGCATTTTCCTCCTGCACCCTAACAACACAATTTGGAGACCACTTATTTTTAGATTATATGAGTGACATAAACACTAGAGGTGCTCTGGATGACAGACACCTAGGCTTTTTCAGTGCTGTGCTGTAGAAACTATTTCAGTGTAGAATTCTTTAATATCTGTCCTTGGATTCAGTTTGCCAATCACAAATGCTGGCTATCAAGCTCTACAGATCAGATTTCACCTTATGATTTTGATTTTAAATGAAATTAAATTAGGAGCCACTGAGCAATCCATTGAAACAAAGCTACCTAAAGCTCCATCAGAAAGCAGTTCAAAAGGTTATTAAGTATCGAATGACTCACAAGACTTCTTAAGGAGAAAAAATGAGAGACAATGGCACCTTAGGAGAGCTCACTCAAAAAGCAGACAGGTTATTCAGAATAGCCCACGCACTGATACATCTCGTAAGGAGCTCATAAGGTTCTGAAAGTTGAAATGAATCCAAAGAAGACTGGGACACCATTACTGCAGTGAGTGAGGGAAACTAGAAATGCTGCTTAGGATCAGCATTGCAAGCCAAACTGAGGCACTCACGGCAGTTCACAACTGTGCATGCCTCAAACCAAGGCTCAGCTCATAATAAAGAGCTAAGACATTTTTGTCACCGTCAAGGTTTTGGTATACCAAATGATAAACTTTCTTCATTTTATTTATATTAACATAACTATGCTCATGTTAGAGCTGCCCAGGATTTCAGATTAATATAAAATAGCAAGATTTTCCTGGAAGCCATTACCACTGCTGTATAGCTCAACAAAGTGTCTTATCAAGCACAGATAACAGATGTTCAATTTAATAATTAAAGCCTGAAAGAAACCTGGGACATGATCGGCTGAGAGGTGATGGCTTTTGCCATGCAGAACTTCCACTGATCAGAGTTTAATGAAGACAGGAGACTTACATGCTCAAACAAGAGTGCATGCAACAAGCTATTTTCATGAAAGCACTTTGTGTGGGACAGCTCACCTTACTGGAGTGCTGTGATGGATGGACAGATTGAAATGAGCCCTTCCTGAGAAAATGGCAGAGCAGATGCAGATCATCCCCTGTGGGAAAGAGTACCTTAGATGCGTGGGGCTCAGGCCAAATTAAGAGCTGTCTAGTCAGGCCAGAGGAGGGTCACCAAGTGTGACATCGTGGTTGAAATGTGCTACAGATCACTCACTAGTTAAGAAAGAAGATGCAGCTATCATTAATGATTTTTGGAAGTCTCTGTCACACATCCACATCCTCACCCCAACTTTTAACATGTTCAAACACAGCCGGTCCAGGAGACATCTGAAGGGTGTCACAGGTAACTTCTTGTCATACAGGCAGTAGGTGTGCCAGCCAGAAAGGACACACAGCCGTGATGCTGTAGTGACCATGGAATACTGGAGTCAGGTTCCTGAGAGAAGCAAGGGAGGAAAAAGAAGATAGAAAAAGGCATAAGAGCTGTAAGACAGAAGAAGGTGTGTGGGTTTTGGTTTTTTTTTTTTTGTGGTTTACATCAGCAAGCAACTAAGCATAACACAGTCTTTCAGTCACTCTCCCCCCAGCTGGAGGAGAGAACTGGAAAAAAAAGATATAAATAGAACTCATAGGTAGAGAGAAAAACTACTTACTAAGGCAGAAGAGGAAGACAGAAATAATGGTAATAATATAGATACTAACATGTTTACAAAGTAAGTGATGCACAATGCTCGCTACCTGCTTACTAATGCCCACCCAGTCCCCCAGCGGTGGCTCTACCCCACCCAAATCCTGTTGGTCTTACTGTCTGGCAGGATGTCAGTTTGGGTCAGCTCTCGTGGTTCTAACCTCTTCAGCTTCTTGTGCTCCCCAGCCCTTTTCATTAGCAAGACAGTACAAGAAGCTGAAAATGTGAAATGCTCTTGGCTTTGTGCAGCACTCCCCTATAGCAACTAAAATGCCCACCTGTTATCAACACTGATTTTTCTCCTAAAACCAAAACACAGTATCATATCAGACACTATGATGAAAATCAAATGCCCCAGTTGAAAACAGCATTCCATTTTAGCTACTAATGTACAATGAGGATGTTTGGCTGAGTGGACTTGTTTAAAATTCTTTCTCTAAGCAAATCCACCTGCTTTCTCAGATGCACAGCTTACCTGCAATGACACTGAGTAGACAAACTGAGTAGTCCAAAACTACTCCCTTCTAAAGTTGTGGCTTCTAAAGATGGAAATATTTTTTTGACATCTCAGCTCTTTGTTGGGTAATGTACTGGAATTACTCTGGTCTCCTTTTAAGGTCCCAAACATTCCAGATGAGTTAGGAAGTAGCTTACAGCATTCTTAATGTGCTAGGCTCTTTGAGTTAAGTAAAATGCATTATTATTTCATTATTCCTTTTTTTTTTTTTCCTTTTTCTTTTCAGTTATGCTGTGGTTTGCTTTGAAGGAGAGTATGATTCAGTCACTTAATATAATCAGCAATTTAAATAGAAAGTTCTCTTCCATACGGGGGAAATGCTGCAGCATTTTTGCCTTCTGTTTCATAAGACATACAGATCCTGTTGATAGATTAAAAAATAACAATAATAAAGAAAAAAAATTACATTATCAGGGCTACCTATTTCTTTTCACACCCTGAGCAGGGGAGTCAGACCTGAACAACTAAAGGAAACAGATGGACCTAGAAAGTTCAAACCTTGAAGGAAGAAAATCTCCAGTAAATAAAAATGCTTAGAGTCACACAGGGAATTTTTCCATGGCTTGTAAAAATAGACAGCCCCCTACTCTGCAGCTTCAGCAGAACTCCATATCTAGTGATGTCATACTCTCAAATGCCCATGCCATCTCCTGTTTTCTATACCTACTACATTTCTAAATCAACTTACATACCAAAGTTAATAAGTGGAAGACAAGCCTGCTTGCAAAGATCCTTAGTAGCAAATTCTCCCATTATTCTAAGACTCCTTATCTCTGAGTGGTTCCTTGCCATCGAGACAAACTTTCCTGGTAAATCTACTGAAAAACCACTCTGCTATTTCAGAAGAAGTCTTTCTTGGAACAAGCCAAAGAAGTTGACAGTTTTCATCTGAAACTGTTCTATCCTCTGCCCCGCCATACTATGAGAGACGGTGATTGCTCTCCATCGCTACTAGTAGGTCAGCTTTTAATTTGACATTGAGACTCCAAAATCTTCAGTTGCGGTCACAAAATTTCTGCAAAGGACAAGTAATACATGCTTCAACTTCCTTTCCCATTTTTCCCATCAAAGTGATGAAGTTACTCACCCCTTGAGAGTACTGCTTTCAAAAGAGTTCTCTTCTGCACTGTAAGTCAAACAGCACTTACATTTTTTCCTCACAATGATGGAATTATTCTGTACTACTGACATTGAGGGCAGCCCAAATGTTTCAGATAACAGAGGAGATGCTCCAAATACTCATCACTGTTCTGTAGCAATAAGACCTGCAGCAAACACAGTGCCAATAGCTAGAGCTACTTCTGCGGAGTGCTATACTGCAGCACAGCACAATTTCACCTAACTGAAAGCAGTACGTACCTCAGAATCCTCTGGGCCTCAGGAGACATCTTTCCCACAAGCAAGGAAGATAAGAAGATCATCTCCCAAAGGCGTCAGGCCAAAAAAAAAAAAAAAGAAAGACTCTAGTAATTTCAGTAATCCGTTTTACACAGTGCCGTGCATTTCAAACCTTTTTTTGGGGGGTTAAGAAGTTAAGCAAAGGCCCATAAATATATCCAATACACTAATCTCCAAGTATCCTCAATACAGGTGGAAGCTGCATTTAAAGCTGAATTGCTCAGAATATTTATCGAAAGCTACTCTGTGTTTTACAGCTGAAGATCTATTTTCAAGAATGTAATGCCTGGATAAACAGAAGTACTTTCCCCTTCATAGACTTCCTTAAAAAAAATAATTCTGGCCTTAGTTTACAATGATAGAGCAAACAACAATGGCACAACCTCCCATATGAGCTTTTAAGGCACAACCACCCTATGTTGCTCTCTACGAGAGCAGGAAGCCTAAAAAAATAGGATTCTCAGAAACACGGCGTTGTTGAGGTCGGCAGGACCCGAAGGACCACCTGCCAACCCGTGATTCCTGCCCCTGCTGCAGCAGGGACACACAGAGCAGGCTGCCCAGGCTTCCGGAGACCGCCGAGAAGACTCCACAGCCCCTGGGCAGCCCGCGCCAGAGCTCCCTCGCCCACAGTAAGCAGGCATCTCTTCTGCTCACACAGATTTTTTATTCTCTTTCCTTTGACTTTTGTCCCAGCCCCACACTGCCCACAGCGATGCCACTCTCCCACCCAGCTGGGTGCCACCTCCTCCGTGCAAGTAGGCGCAGCAGCACCCAGCAGGCGCGCCTCTGCTCTCGTCTCCCTGGAAACACGCGCTTCGCGCAATCCGGCACAATAAATGCGTTATCTCGAGGTCCGACCAGGCACAAATTCACCAGCCAGAACATAAATTTCAATCCCTCGGTGCCAGGAGGTAACACGGGAGCGCCCAGCAGCTTCCTCCTTTCCGAGGGGGGAAGCCCACGCGGGGTCCCCAACGGCCGCCCCCCCCCGCGCGCCCGCGGCGGCGGCGCCGTCCCTCAACCTATGACGTCACCTCCACCAGCCGGAGGGCCGGTCTCCGCGCGCAGCGGCGCCACGCGCCCAACGCACGCGTCGGACGCACAAAGCCCAACGCAGGCGCCCTACCGCTCTCCTGCCCGCCGCTCTCTTCCATCCGCCCTTTCTCGCAGGAGTACGCATGCCTCAACAGCGTGAGGCGGAGTCGAGAGGGAGAAGGAGGGTGAGGGGAAGAGGGAGGAGCCGGAGTCGGAGCCGGGGCCGAGGCGAGGGAGTGGGCTCCGCCTCCTCTCCTTCTTCCTCCTCCTCCTCCTCGCCGATCCGCGACTCCTGCCTGCCGCTGCTCCCCACCCTCCCCGCGTACAGCGTGCGGCTCGCCTCCCGCCGGCGCCGCCGCTGCCACGACGGCCGCAGAAACAAAGGAGGAGGGAAGCGGCGGCGGCTCTACGCCTCGCAGTCCCCGGACCCTCGCTATCCCGGCGGCGAATCGCAGCCCTCTCCGACACCCGACGCCCAGCTTCCGGCCGCCGGCACCAGGTAGGCGGGCGCGGAGAGGGCGGCAGGACCGGCTCCGAGGGCGTCTCGCCGGGGCCTGGGAGGCTCGGGCCCGCCCGCGGCGGCACAATGGGGGGCGCGGGGCCGGCGGCGTCCGGACCGTGACTCAGGGCTTTGCGTGCGGCTCGGTCAAGGGCCCGCCCCCGGGGTTGTCATCCGGGCCTGACGGCCTCCGGGGCTCCTGTGCGCCGGTACCCACGGGGCGGGGGCAGAGCGGGCAGGGGGAGCGTGGCGCACTCCGGGCACTTGGCAGCGTCGGCCTCTTTGTCTGGCGCCGCGCTGGGCCCGCGCCGTGCTCCTCCGCGGCGCCGCGCTGCCAGGACTTGGCTTTTTCTTTGTAAACGGCGGTCCCTCAGGCGGCGGGGTACGTAGGCCGGCAGGCCCCAGGTTTTGCGATCGGTTTGAAGCCTATCTCTTTGGGTCGCTATCCGGTCTCTAACGTTAAAATTCGAACCGACGAAGCGCTGTGTCGGGACTCGCAGCGGGACCTCAGAGCTGGGCCGAGCCTCCCCGCCTCGCTGCCCGGCCCTGAGGGACTGCCCGGAGCAACGCTTCCGTGCTGCGAGGGTGCGGGGTGAAGTGGTGGCATCCCTCGGGCCAAGGCTTTACCCCTTCCGGGAGGCAGAGCGAATTTTATTTTTCTCCCCCGCAAAAGAGAGGTGATCCGGCCGTTGTAGCCTCCTGCCCCGGGAGGTCGGGGGCCTTACAGTGAGCTGTGAGGCCCGTTGTAACACCCGCCGTGTCTGGGGCTGAAAATGGCTGTTGGAGATGACGAGCCGGTGATGCTGCACTTCCCTGATTGAATTTCGGTCTTCTCGCTCTCTCTTCCTTTAGAAAGGAAGCCGCGGTCCTGTTAATCAGATTTCATATCTTGCTCTCGCGGTGGGTGTATGCGCGGCTGCCTCGGCCTTGTGGGCTGTACGGAGCTGTCAGCCCTTGGAGATATAAATAGAAGCTGATTTCAGAGGCCCCTATTGACGGGGTTTTGTGTATGAGCCTGCAGCTCAGCCTGTCACATTGCAGCCTTGTGACAGGCGGAAGCTAATGCGCTCACCCATGTGACCCGTGCTTCTGAGAAATATTGAGGAAAGCAGTACACATGTGATGGCATTGGGAGCTGGCTTTTTAAAGGAGGGAAGCTACATCTGTAGGAACACTTCAGCTAGCTGCTGACATTCATAGGTGTTCCACTAGGGAGGAATTGGAGAAGTGTGTAATTTGTCTGGTCTGAAGACCTTGCTTCAGCCATTGCTGGTTCAGAACCTGATACAGCAAAACCTAGTGTACTGGATAGTGGATTCCGCTTGGTAAGTTTTTTTATAACTGTTCACCTGTGTGTGCGATAAATAAAAATAAATGGTTAGACCTGGATCTTCTTCAGAAGCCTGAAAAACACCATTTCTGAAGGGCTGGACAACAGCCCATCTTTTCTGTTAGGGATGTATATTTCAAACAATGGAAGAAGCTGCAGACCAAGCAGCTGTCAAGGCTTGCTGTTTGTAGTATTTTAAAAACAGTGTTAGCACCTGAAGCTGGATGCTTTAGGTGGTAAAATATGATTCACAGTATGAATCAGATTCACAGCTTGAATCTAATCTGAACTGGAACGTGTTAATTGAGATTGATGGTGGCAGCATATTTGATAGTGTTTTAAGCTTACCTACTTAACAAGAGGGCAGAAATGGGCTCTTTGTTTTTCTCTAAGTGTAAACCTAGAATGTAGATGAGAGGTTTTAGATTTGCGTAGTTTTGTCATGATTTACGCTGACTTCGTGTCTGACGTGCAAGGCTGTAGAAATGCAGTGTTGTTGAGTGTTTTATCGAAGTGGAAATGACTACGTGTACCAATGTAGCTCTATTTATAGCTGGGGAAAAAATCAGGTTCCATAATCACCTGCAGGAAAAAAAAAAATTATCTCCTGTTTCTGTATTATTTTTCTCTTAGAAACTTAGTTGAATTGGACAAAGGCTACTGTCAGTTGCAATTACTAAGCTATTGAAATCTGACTTTACAGTAATTGCTGTGTAGCATTTAATTAATTATAAAAAGTGTTATTCTGTGTAGCATAATAAATGTGCTTTCAGCATTCTTGAGTTCTCACAAGTATCAGCTGTGAAATATCTCTTTTTTTGACTTTTCCTGAGTAGGAAGGCTGTCATCTAAAGAAGATATGCAAATGTCTTCAGGATTTAGAAACACTATACTTGGCATGTGGAGATCAGTGCAATATGCTTACATGTCCTCAATTTGTATTACATTGCTGGATTTCAGTGCTCAAGTTTTGTTGCCCTTGCAAATCAAAGGCTTTGTTTCTCTATCGGTTTTTCTGCTTACCTTACTTTGCTGAGATTCACCAGCAGTGAAGGGGAAATATTGTTATTTGTAACTACTGCAGTTTGCGTTACGGACTTAGGCATTGTCTGTTGGAGGGTTTGGAAGTCTTGCTATAACTTTATTAATACAAATAATTTAAATGGCTCTTTTGAGAATTGTCAGCAGCATGATGGGATGTACCTGGGAAAGCAAAGTCAGGTCTAATCCTATCTCAGAAATATTGTTTAGATTCTGTTGAAGAGACTGTTGTGCACTTGTTGTTGCCAGTTAATACTCAGTATCAACTTTCATACACAGCCTGAGGAGTATTTGAGGCCTTGTTTTGGAAACTTCTTCTAAAGATACGAATACAGGTTTTAACTGGCTGTTGCCAATACTTCAGGGATCTTACTGTTGTTTTGGTTTTTTTTTTTTTTAACAAATGGACTGTGGAAGTTAATCCTGCTAGTAATAGAATAAATGTCAAAATGTTGCAAAATCAACATTATTGGAAAAGCGGAGTGGTTCTGAATGGAATTTGGTAAAATAAGCTGTTAATTGCCAAAATGGTACAGCAGATACAAGGTTGATTTTGCTTATTCTGCATATCCATGCTAGTGCTCAGACGTTGATAACGAAGGGCTTTTTGCCATCAATTGAATTTGGTCATAACCTGTACACGCAGCTCAATGTTTGACAAGCATGCTACTTCTCAGTATCATCAGCATGATAACTTTTTTTCTTGTCTTAAGGATATGTAATGATGTTACTTAACAATACAACTGCAGTATTGAATGGCTCATTAATGTCCATGAATCTCTTTATAAGAATGCTGATATCATTTTATGGGAGCAGGGTGAGCAGACGTGCTTTAATTCTGTAACCCTGTAATTGATTTTGGTGACATGTCCGCTCCTAATGCAGTTCTTGCTTTTATTTACAGCATCGAGATGACTCAGGAGACAAACCAGACCCCAGGGCCTATGCTGTGTAGTACAGGATGTGGATTTTATGGAAATCCTAGGACAAACGGGATGTGTTCTGTTTGCTACAAAGAACATCTTCAACGGCAGCAGAACAGTGGCAGAATCAGTCCAATGGGTAAGAGTTTACAATATCTCTGTTTTCTTGGTTTTATTTTATTTTGAATTAAAACATAAAACTGATGAAGAGGAATCCCATAACATGTTTTGGGAGAACTTCTGAATGTTGTATACTGAAATCAAATTTCAAAGAGTATACTTATTCAAAACACAAAAAATAGTAATAATATAAATAATAATAGTAAAAATAGGAATGTTTTTGTGTAATATGTTGTGATCCACCCTTAATTTTCTTCTCCACTTATTTCTAGTGTCAGTATATTCTTACATGATCTCTTACATGATATTACAGTTGTTAGTAATATAGTCTGTCTTTTAAGTAAGAGGTAGTGTGCAGTATAATGAATAATGTATGCAAGTTCATAACTATATGCAAGAACATTTGACTAATGTATTCTACAACTTGTTTATAATGACTTAAATTCTTGTTTTGTAGGACCAGCCACTGGTTCAAACAGTCCTACCTCAGACTCTACATCTGTTCAGAGAGCAGATACTACTAGCTTAAACAACTGTGATGGTGTTTCTGGCAGCACATCTGAAAAATCGAGGTAAGATGAAAGTATTATTTTGAGTTTCAGATGAGCTGTGAGTATGTAGCAAGTTAATGATTGGCAGTAACTTTGACCCACTTCACTCAATTTCTTAGGAGCAGAAGGCACACCTGACAGTGCTTTTCTTTATAAATCTTTGTAAATGACTAGTGATTAAAATGTTTGGTGTTGTACTTCTGCATTTGCAGTTTATCTGGAGAAGTGTTTGCTCCGGATTTGACTATTTTCTACTATGGGGAACTAAAATAGAATCAAAAAGTATTTTGAAGATAGTAGAAGCAGGAGTTAGGGATGAGCATCAGGACTAGTTAAACAAGTAGTCTATTGATGGGTTTGGATATTTTTATTATGTACTTAAAACTGATGTAAAATTACATGTTTTACTGTACATGAACAGAAATGTGCCTGTTGCCGCTTTGCCTGTAACGCAGCAAATGACAGAAATGAGC